CACCTTTGCTGTGTGTGAGGCATGAATTTTCACATGAAAATCTTGCCTTTAGTGAAGGGTTGTGCACATCACCTTAAAGCTTAAATATTACAAAATCAACTTGAATATGTGCTTTTATTTTAAAATCTGAATGTTTCTGCAGATGAGAAGGTTATTTAATTTTCAAATACTCACTTTGGGCCTCATAATTTGTCAGGGAGGGGAAATGGGAAAAAATGTTTTTCTGAAAACATTTTTTTTCAAGCATAAAGCTTGGGGCTTCTGAAAAAAATTCTATTTTTTTAATATTTGAGCTAGCTGAGTGGAAAAAGGTAAGCTTTCAATATTCCTTTTACTTACATTTCTCTAGTGAAGATTACTCAGAGCAGCTTAAATAAAAATCAAGAGATTTGTCACATATTAGCTCTTAGGGAGGCAAATATTTTTAGAAAAAAAAATATTGGAGGCTTAGCTTGCTGCATTTAAAAATCACCTACTATTTCTGCACGAAAAATGACTTTCTGGCAAATATTTATACCTGCCTTGGGTCCAGTGCAAGGAGAAAATACAGCCCAGCTCATGGTCTTGCTGCCCAGACCTTAGAATGCCCTAAAATTGGAATTTTTGTGAGAATATATTCCTCATTGCATGAGCTTCAGATAKGGTTTTACTTAAGGAGAGAACTTAATGAGAAATATCTTGCTGTGTGACTGAGGGCTGGGTTTGACTCCTGCTCATTTCGTTTGAAAAATCAGGATTTATTTATTATTTTTCTGGATATGAATCCTATGGTTGCAATATTTGAACAAAATTCTTTTCCTTCACGATCAGTAGAGTGGCATCAGCAAGAAATAGAGATCACTGTGTTCATCAGCTACAAAACACTTCATTCTTACTTTGCCCACTGAAATAAATTAATTTAATAGTCCAAAGAGCTGCAGAGGCTCCTTTGCTTGTGTGTGGACATTGTCATCCTTTAGGAAGCGGATTGCTCACTTTATATTGGCTTTGTGGGTAAATATTCCACCTTTTACATTTGAAGACAGCCTGATAAAATACGAGATTTTCAAATTTAGCTTTCTAACACCTCAAAGAAGACAGAAAATAGGAAACAGGCTCGCTGAAGGAACTGATGGTTATCGATGTCTGAATGAATGTCCCCTTTTTTGATCCCCTCTGGCTTGAAGGCAAATCCGAGCACACCCAGAGCAGCAAACCCTGGCGAGTCATGATTTAGCAGGCTGCACTGCTAAGTGAGAAATGCCGTCATATAACTGGCATGAAAGGGGTTTGACATTAAGCAAATGAAAAAAAAATAATAATAATTCCAGAGAAAGCGGCATTTTGGTGAATCCTAACCTAGGCGAGTATTGGGGAGACTCTTTGGAAGAATACATGGGTCCTTTGGTTGGATACTTCTTATGCCGGGGAGTTGAAGGGGGTGGGGGACCCACAATCATATCTATCCTGGCAAAGTAAATAAGAAAAAAAAGACACCAGCAAAATGCATAATGAAGCAACACGTAGAGAAAAGTTGGTCAGAGAAAAGTCGCAGAAAGAGACAACTGAAAAACAGAAGGACAGGGAGAGAAAGAGAGAGAATTTGAAAATATATTCCGCTGGAAACAGAAGGCTCTCTCCTACCACCTGGTTGTTGGTGAAAAACCAGAGTCTTACCCAGGTCAGGGTAAGGTTTGGAGATTTAAGCACCACTGCAACATTTATAGGAGCTCCCCCCACCCCAGATATAACAGGCAACATGCTTTACCCTCTGGAATATATTTGCATGTGTGTGGCAATATCCCATTGAGGTGGCTGGATATGAAACAACATATATTCATTCTCCTTTCAGTTCCAGTGCTAGAGAACACATCCTCAGCTAGTTCAGGAAAGCATGAGCTGCTGGGAGCCGGCGAGGAACGCTGCAGGATTGGATAACTCAATGAATGGGGACATCCATGGTTGGCAAGGTGTCAGGATGGAACACGAGACAATGTGAACACAACACTGAAAAGAGCACATTGCAGACACAGTGACAGAGGCTTTACTGATTAAAGAGGAAAGTGCATGTAAACACCCCAGAAATATGCCTGGATGCAGCTTTAATCCACCAAAGCCCTGGCTGGGGGAGGTCAGAGCCAGCCCTGCTGAGCTGAGCTGAGCTGAGCTGGCAGGGAGAGCACAGGGTTTGACTGATGAAGGAAAGGGGGATTAAAATATCTGCTCTCCAAGGTGCTCTGTGACCACTTCCCCACCCCAGGGGGGCAGGGTCCAGCCCAGCCATGGCCTTGTCTGCAGGGGCCCTTTTGGTCGTGCTGGACAGCTGAGCAGCCGTGGGAGCTGTTGGTGCCACAGGGTGACCCCAAAGGGGCCTGCTCCCATCACCATCACCAATCCCCTGCTCAGTGGGGACAGCGAAACCAGGGAAGCTGCCTGGTAGTCTTGGATCCCAAATCCTCCCTTTTGAAGCACCTCCTGGTCCTCCTGGCTTCCCTCTGAGGGGATGGGTGACAGCCTTGCCCAGTCCCAGAACCTCATCCTTTGCAGTCCCACAGCTACAGCTGAGAGGAGAATCTGGTTTGGTCTTTGAAAGCTGCGATTCCTTACCCCAATCTCCCCAAAAAGGCAGCCAACCAAACTACTTTGGCTTTGCAGCACATCCCCCTGCAGGACTGGGTGTTGAGGCAATCTGCCACGGCTCTCAAGGTGCTGGAGACTCGGGCATCCCACCTGGAGCCAGCAGAGATGACAACCCCAATGTCCCAGTATGGAGACAGCATGGAGGCCTCTCATTTCAGGTTACTAAAGTTAGGAACCCTCAATCCCCTCCTCCTCCTCTTCCCTCTCTATATTCAGCTACACATATTGGATCTGTAATCACTGAATACGAATTCAGTACTGAACAGGAGTGTGAGGCTCAAAGAGAGGAAATTCTCCAGGATATTTTGGTCTCCATAGCAAGGGAGAATGTTCCTTCTGGGAAAAGCACAGTGTGCAGCAAAGCTGAGAAAGTTACCTCTGCATCTTGAGCATCAAAAATAGCAGAGTTAAAATGGTCTCTGAGAGAATCATGGCAGAACAGAGATTCCTCTTTTTTCCCAAGACAATTTTCCTATTTCATTCCTGGGGTTCATGTCAGCTGTTTGTATACACAAACAATTTTTTTCCCTTCACATTTTCTGTCTCTTCCAGGGACTTAGAGGGATTGGAAATTTAAGGAAAACCTTCTCTATGGCTTCTAGAGGAAGCTGGGCTGCCACAGCCATCAAAGGAAGTGATTTTATTCTCCAAGTGTAAAAGCAAACGGTGTATTTTTTTGACTGGAGATTGCCCATGGCCAAGTCCTGCCACTGTTCCGGGTGTCCTTCAAGCTCAGCAGAACTGGAGCAACTTCTGCTGAGCCAACACAGCCAGGGGTGTTGGAGGCTTGGGGTCTGCTTTTCCACCATGGCTCAGGGAGGAGTGGTCAGACTAAAAGATTTAGCTCCAATCCTCGGTACAAGGAATCAAATTTATTTGTTTAGGTTTGGTTTTTTGTTTTTTTTTTTTCTTCCAGGAGAAACAGGAAAAAAAATGGAACCTTCTCGGTTCCATTTGTTCCATTTTCCACCTTCCTTCGCCTATCAAAATGAACACATCTCCCCCTAAAATCTGAGCACAGAAGCTGAAGTGCAGCTCAGCTAAACCCCACCTACGTCGGTGGGCTTGGATGAGAAATTCCCATCTGCATGGATCTCCAGCAGACTGTGCCATTCCAGGAGGAATTCCTCCTGAAGTGCCTTAGCATCCCAAAGGAGGGAGGGAGCCACTGCCTGCTCACTGCTCTCTGTGCCAGGACCCCAAATTTCTGTCCTATCAATCCCAGAAAGGCCCCAAATTATCCACCTTGAGACTGGGGCACCAAACCTTTGCACCCTGTCAGGAGCACCATAGAGACACCCACCCACCTTTCCCATGGGATGCACTGCAATGCCAAAATCTCCCAAAATAAAGCAGGAGGATGAGCCATGATTTTTGTACACCCTGAGAAGGGCAGTAAGGTGGTTTTAGTGGCAGTCCCTGTCCTGCTTATCCCTGTGGGTTCCAGCCACAAGCACTGATGTTTTCCTTGAGGATTTGTCTTAGAAAGGAAAAAAAAACAAACTGCAGCTGCAAAGGAAAGTATCTCTCCCCTAGCAATACCTCCACAGTGAACAAAAAGCAGTGGAAAATGAAGCAAAGAGAGGGGTCTCTTGCCTGGCCTGAAGGTTTTTAATCCGGGACAGCATGTCCAGGTGGCCAGCTGAGTACTGCTCGATGACATCCATCACGTCGTAGGGACGAAGGCTCTCCTTAAACTTGCGCTTGGAGACGAGAAACCTCATAATGCTGCAGGAGACGGAGAGCAAAATCATAACACAGTCCCTGGGTGCAGCCTGACCTGCTTAATGGCAGATAAAAAACACTGCAGCGAGCTGCTTTGGAAGGAAAACAGAATAAGTCTGTTTGGGAGAGGATGAAGCAATAGGAGAGGGGAAGGGGATTGCGGGGGCTGAAGCCCTGCCTGCGACAGGGGGTCCCCGATGCCCCTCGGACTGTCATCTGTGCATGTGCTCCCTGCACTGCTTTTATAAATGTCAGCATTGGATCTCAGAGCTGGTGAGAACGGTCATTTGGATGCATCCCTGCGGGGGATTTTCCTGTTTCTCCATTTATTCCTTCCCTAAGCAAAAATTGCCTTTCCTGGCAGAATTGTCTGTAAAGCAGGACAGGCCACCCAGGGGAAAAACAGCCTGCAGCACACACATGTCAGCGTTTGCCACCACTTTCTCAGGCTTTACACTTTTTATTTTTCACTATAATTTATTTTTCCGGACTGCTCCCCCTGCTCCCTCTCTTACCACACTGCCCTGATGCTGACTTTCAGCCCTGGTGTCAAATCTTCTGTCACAAACTCGCAGTTGCAGCTTTTGTTCTCATCAGGAATGTCCTCTCCAGGGAGGCTTGCTTCTGGGTTTGAGACAGGGAAGGATAAAACAAAACACGTTATTATTTTCCGTGCCGGTGTCGAGTGAAGGAGGATGATGCAGATCGCAAACTGCAATCCCAGGGGAAGCAGCAGAGCAGCYTYTGCTGAGCATCCAAATGAGAGCAATTCCCAGGATGTGCTGAGGTGACATTCAGCAGTGTTAACTGCGGCTCTCACCCATCTCTACCTCAGTGAATCCCAACATAATTTGGCTTGGAAAAGCCCTCCAAGATCACGGAGTCCAACCATTCCCCCACCACGGCCAAACCCAATGACCAAACCACGTCCCCAGGTGCCACATGGAGATGTGTTTTTAATCCCTCCAAGATGGTGAATCCACCATTGCCTTGTGCAGCCTGTTCCAGGGCCTGGCCACCCTTCAGTGAAGAATTTTTTCCTAATATCCAACCTAAACCTCCTGTAGTACAACTTGAGGTCATTTCCTCTTGTCCCAATGTTTGACTCTTCCTCCTTTACCCATCCTTATATACAGAATAGAAATATTATCAGGGGTGGAAGAAGGGATTTTCTTGCCTCTTTTTCTTGCCTCTTTCAACTAATCATTGCTGACTAGTTTGGGTTGGAAGGGACCTTTTAAAGTCCCTCTAATCCCACCCCTTGCAATGAGCAGGGACATCTTCAGCAGGACCAGTTTGCTCAGGCTGCTCCAGGCTAAAAGACTGGGAGGGGAAGGTGTCCCAACACCTTGGCTGGCAGCTCTGCCATTCTTAGGTGGAGAAGGAGAGGATGTCAGGGCCTGTAGGGAGTGTTAACAGCTTGCATGGGAATAAAACACCACGTCTTTAGCTGTCTTGAGAAAAAGAAGATTGGAATGTAGAACTGATAATGCAGGTGGCTTACAATTATCAACATTACTAATACTGTAGCTTTTGCAAACCTACCAATCCTATGCTGTTGAGTAAAAAGTGACAGCCTCACTGACCAATGTATGTTTGACACAAATGYATGCACTGGTTGCTAAAGTGGATAAAAGAGGCTTGTCCCACAATAAAGTCCTTCTTTCTTTCTGTTTTTTCACCCACTTTTTGTGTATTTTGTATCTATTCTTTTATGTCGGCTGTCTAGCCAACAGCGACAAGGGCCAGTTGGGAATTTGGGGTGCAGCACAGCCCCCCGAGCCCTCACCTTCCGAGTTCTGCCGCGACGCCGCTCCCTTGATGCGGAACGCTTGCCGGGCTCGGCTGCGGTCTCCGAAGCTCCAGCTCTTGGGCACTTTGCTCGGGCTGTCCTCGATGCTCTGGTCAGCGCTGGGGGACCTCCTGATGCCCTGAGCCTGTGGAGAGCCTTTCCCTTTGGTGCCAGCACCGCGGGGACTGGAGAAGACACGATCTTTCAAACTGACCTTCTGACTGTTCAGAGAAACACGTTGAAACAAAGACAAAAAGGAGACAGCAGGAGGAGTCATTCTGGAAACCACGCAGTCCTTCCCCACCAGCCATTAGAAACCAAGAGCACTTCCAAGCAGCAGTGACATGTAGCTTTGCTGTTGGCTTTTCTTTTTTTTATTTTCTTTTCCAATATATATTTTTTTTTTTTATTTTTTTGTTTCAAAGAAAGCACTGTAGAAATGTTTCCGTCATCATGAGTGAAATGGGAATGATTCGTAAGAGAGAGAGAAAATAATGAGGACTTAAACAGAAGCCCCTCATGGGATGCCAGGGCTGGAGGGACAGAATGACATTAACAATGAGGTTATGAATCCTTAAATCACTGATCGACTCCGATCACGAGTTAGGAAGCTTTTCTTTCACAACTGCCTTCCAAAACACTATGACTAATAAGAAAACAGCAATTAAAAAAACCCCAAACCATTATCTTAAACCTTTTATATAAACAGTTCTCTTCTGGTGCTCAGATCTGTCCTTTCCCTTTCTTCAGCTCCTGTGTTTCCTCCCTCTTTAAACGTGATCTGCCCCTTTTTTATATTCCAAGGAGTTCCTCTTTATGCAGCCATACATTGAAACACATAAATACAAACACTTCATTGTGCAACTCCTTTGCATCCTACAAAAATTCCATCTAAAAGCTATCTGCCATCTCCCTGAAGGTCTGCTAGAGGTGTCATAAAACATGTAAAGCAAAATTTTACAACTCCAGAATATGGCATTTTACTGCCTTTTTTTTCCTACTAGAATCCTTGCAATTATGGTTTGCAAAGAAGCTCTCTCCAGAAACGGAGATGATCTCACTGGGAAACAGTGACCACCCAGCTCTAATTAGTTTCCAAATTCTGAAATCTGCAATTAAAGCCTTCCACCCAAATGAAGATGTTGAATTTTCACGTGCAAATTTAAGAACAAAGAGATTTTGTGAATCTTTCTGAATCCACAAACTTTACAGAGATAGCATTAAGGAAAGCAGACTGCAAAACAGTTTTGGATCATTTTGTATTTTCTTACCAGCAGTCAATGATTAAACTCCACTGATTAGAGGTTGGACAACCAGTGCAAGGCACTTGCACAAAAAGCCAATATTTTATGTCTAGGTGAAAAACTGAGTGAAGACAGGGATTTAATTCCCAGCCCTCTGCACCATTGCAGCAGCCACTTTGCATCATTTGCTGCAAACGCTCTGCCTCAACTTGCGCGAAGAACATTTCAGAAATTTTAATTTCYACATCACCAACCAAAGACCTGCTTTTTTTTTATGGCGTGCCTTTCAGCACCACCAAACTYAAAACTCACARSCACTGAGTCCTYCTTTGCCTTCAAAACTGGCACGAGRTTCTTCAATCAGAACTCGGCCGCTGGTTTTGAAGCAAAGCAAAACGCTGCTCCMTTTTCCCGGCTGTTCCCTGCTGACAGGAGCAGACACCAGCTCCAGCCAGCAAAGGAAGAAGATGTGACTCSAGGACACTCAGGGAGCAGATTTGTCGAGTAAGAAGGTGCTATTTTTACAAAATCACTTCACATTGCGAGACAACAAACATTTACAGGGAGAGAAAGGTGCTTAGGCAGCGTTTTGCAGAGTTGTGCAGGGAGGGCATCCCTTAGGCTGCAGGGCAGGGTTGGCAGCAATTCCACGTTGAAAGATGGATTGGAGAGAAAATAAAATCTGCTCACGACCAAGTTAGAGAAAATGGAATTATTCCAGTTTGAGATGAATTTTAAAATCAGGTGAGTGCTGGGGATTTGATTTCCAGTGTGGTGTCCACCTGCAGGGTCTGTCTGAAAGCTCTGGGATCAACAGACCTTCAGCAGAGCTGAAATCCAGGTTGGAGGTACAAATCCACACAGGAATCTGGGAACAAGCACRTGCCTAAACACCTTTCTGGGTGTAAGCCTTCGTTACTAATGCTACCAAAATCATCGTACATAATGAGCCAAAGGTTTGAAAAAAATTCTCACCTCGAGTTTCTTGGATTAGAAACCAGAATTAAATTTTGCCATTTGATTCTAAATAGGCCAACTGGATCTTTTTTCTTTATTTTTGTTGATTTTACAGAATAACATTTGTTGAAACCACTGTGTTTCAGTAGTATTAATACTTTGAATTACCATTTTTAAAAAAAGTTTAATAAAAATGCATTAGCAACACAGCAATATTCAGGATTCAAAGGGATCTCTTTGTGCCCTATCCTCTGCTGAGTTGCTCCCATCACCAATCCCAGCATAAAACCAGTTGCCTTTCACTGGGTACAGCAGGGCCTTTTCCTCGGAGCCCCTTTTCCATTCCCACAACAAATGTGCTACACACATTTGCAGAAATCACAAAAAGCAAAAAAAGAAAGGGTTGAACTTGGTGAGGGATATGAGCAAAGAGTTTCAAGCTGGACAGCATGAGGTGCAACACATTATAAAAATCTCACAGAAATCTGATGAACAATTAAGATCTGGGTGTTTTTTCCCCCAGGTACTCACTAGGGGAAAAAAACAAACACTTGATGTAACTTCTTTGTTTTTACATAGACGACACGAGACACCATGAACAATTTATTGAATTTTTCCTTCTGCCATGCAATTCCCTCATTGGAAACGCCACCTGGAATCACATGCAAGTACAATCCCTGCAGAGGAGGATGCTGYTGGGGTCTGCAGGAGCTGGTAGGAAAAAATACCCCAAAGAAATACAGACACATATAGGGATATATGTTGTCAGCTAATCCAAGATCATGTTCTCACTCAACCAGAAAACCATGCAGAGGGACGCAGAGTGTCTCAGAGAGGTGGTGTTGGGATGTCACTGGAGAGGGTGATGAATGAGCCTCATTTGAGTGGGGGTGTTGGTGACAGGAAGGTGAGGACAGCAGGAACCCAGGCACACACACAGCAGGGACACAGTCAAAGGGCAGGAGCTCTGCTCATGCCAGGGGAAGGGGAGGCAAAGGGAACTGTGGCTTTGCCACCAGGGACACAGATTAGGGGAAGCCACAACAGCCTGAGAGTTTAATTTATTAATTCTAGGTCCTCATAATGCCACTCCAGGTGGCATCTGTGAAAACAGATTTGATAGCAGAAAGTCACCTTTCCAGGCTGACTGTGGAGAAGGTTTATAAACATTCAGCTTTTGACTTGAATTTAACAAAGGATAGAAACTGAGCTGATTTTCCTCTGTTGCCAGTCAAAAAATGAGAGTCCATGCTGGAAAAACAGGATGGTGTTCACTGCTCTAGTGGGTTTTGCATTTTGGTTAAATCCAACAGCCCAGCACCCAGCAGGGAAATGCTTGAGAAATGACCTTCAAAATGAGCTGCCATCAGCCTCTTTAGGAAGCCAGGGGTTTGAAACCCTCTGCTTTGGGGCTCATTCCAGTTCTTTATAGTATTCAATCAGCACTTTTAAAAAAATGTGGACTCATTACATTAGCAGTAATTTTGGATCAATAAAAAGTATCAGTTGTAAAGTCTTGTCATTGATTTTAAACTGTGCTTGAGCCATTACTTCATTTCCTCCTCAGCCAGCCAGAATGAGTTGGACTGCCTCGGACTCAGATCTCTGCATCCAAACTCAACCAGTATCAGTKCTCATTTTTCTGAGAAGCTGTGGCCAGGAGAAAAAGTTTGTCTTCTGCTGGTAAATGAGGGGCTTTTTTTAAATTGAGAGTTTGTGCTGAGCTCGTGGCATATAAGAACATCTCATTAAAATGAGGTAAAAGTGCCAGGAGTGAATAATGGCCTTTGTGACTATCACTGGGCTCCAGTCTGCTTGCTGGTGGGAGTAAGAGGCAGAAACCAATTACTGCAGACATGAAGGAAAGAAAAATAAAACTGTGTATGCAAAATTTGCYGTGACTAAAACAGAAACTAAGAGAGGAGCAGGCTCAAGCCTGKTTTGCCTCCAGTGATTTCAGAAAAGCCATTACTGAAAGGTGAATTCAGCCTAGAGAATGGAGCTTCTAGAAGCAGAGAATAAGGGAACCAAACATCAGCCAGTGATCATGTCATGGTGAGTAATCCCTCTTCTTCTCCTCATCCACCACCACGGTGCCAGACCAGGATGGCAGCCCCTGGCACTGTGATGGCAGAGACTGGAGCTGCTCCATCCCTGCAGCCACCATGAGCACACAGAGCCTCAGGGGGAAAAGGGACCCTGCAGCCAGACTCATACCTGCAACCTTTGCTGTCCTGCAGTTTTCTGTTGTAATCACCCATCTCCTCCTAACTCACAGCCTTCTTTATACCCAAACTGATGCTGGCTGCTGTCAGACACCACATCAGCCACATTCTGCCTCCTCTCCCAGCCTTTTGCTGTTTGCCAGCTCAGCTGATCTGCTACAGGAGCAAAGCAAAGCAGCCAGGCTGCACCTCCGAGCTGGYTGATCATTCCTGAACAAACCTTYAAGGAAYCTGCTCCTCCCAGAGCCACAGACCMRTYSAGGGSTCTGCAAACACCTTTCCTTCACTGCTCTGGGTGCTGCTTTTTCCCACTGTGAGGTGCTCTCATCCCTGAGTGTGCTGGGAAAGTCTCTTACAAAGCAAAATACGAGAGAGCTGATAATCTGGCTTGGTTTAGTTACATTATTGTCTAAAAATGAATGTGTTAYTGCATTTATTGACTAAAGATCATTGGTTTAGTACATCAAGAAACCGCAGCTTCTAAGGAGTTTCCTATTAATTTACCTACATTGAGTTTTCCATGATTGCCTCATGGTTTGCTGTTATTTCGTTATGTGCATYCTAGATGAAGGCTTTTAGCACTCAGCCTGAGCTGCATCAAAGTGCTGGCTTCTGCCCCAAGGGTTTGTGCAGTGGGGATTGTTGGCAGGCACCCAAGGGTCCAGGCAGACAAGACATTTGAATTATTTTCACGCCCTTTCACAGTTAACCCACAGTTTTACTAAAGCACAGGGTGTATAACACCGCATTCAGAATGGATGAAGGTAACAAAGATGTCCTTTGTGGCTTCTCCAAAGTTCAAGACTCCTTTTTGAYTGGAAGAACCACAGCCTGTAATCCTCCTTTTCAGGGTCTCCAATAGATTAAGAAGATATTGAAGWAACACTTTGTTACATCCTCCCTTTCCCTTGCAGAACTCAAGACRGGGGAGATGAAATGAGGACCACAGTAGGAAGGAATTCAGTAGAAAACAGTAAAAAAAAAAAAAATTACACTGGCTTTAGCAATTAAAAATCCATGCCTATGCAGACATGCAAGGAAGACACTGAGATCRGAGTGGCTGATTTTCCAGAAAACAGAACTAGACATGGACAGGTGAGAGGACAGATCACGAATAGCACTGCTCGCTTTCATCTCTGCCAAAAACAACCTCAGTGTTAAGCAGCTGAGAGGAGGCTTCCTCTGGGAAAGAGTTCCTGCTCACACTACACCTCCACAGATAAAACAACCTCACCTGGCAAATGGAAACACCACAGAAGTCAGGATCCCTTTTTTCAGCTAGGCTATTGACCAAATCTTTGCCATTTGTCTAGAAATGCTGTGCAATTGATGATCACTCAATATTCACCCACCCTTCTCAAGGCTAACCTTCAAGGAAGGCCACATCACCACCAAAACGTGTAGCAGGAGGCTGACTCAGAGGTTCAGGATATTTATCCAGGTGTGAAGGATTTCCTACCATGGAGAACTGCTTGTTATGAACCCTAGATCATGCTCCATTCCTCTTTGTTACCCATTCAGAGATGGGATTTACCACTCTACTTCTGAGCACCTGGTACACGCAAACCTCTGCCATGAGTCCTACCCTCTAGACTGACAGAGAATAAAAGTAGCCAGCAGGTCAAAAAATAGCAAGAAAAGAAAAGAATACGAGTTGAAACAGTTAATGAAGAAAATCAGAGATACATATACTGTTAGAGCTGCAGTTTTACGCTTTCAGATCTGTAGTTTGTTGGCTTTCTGAGGGATACAGAGACTGGTGATTTTGAGAATTCAAACGGACTCCAAAAAAGAGAGAGCATGCAAAAATCCGAGTTCACAAACATGCGGCATCACTCAGTGCCCTGCCACTCGTGGGCTGTCCGCCTGCCTGGCTGCGGGGCGAGGAGCTCGGGGGGTCCCCTGCCAGCATTCACAGCATGCAAACTCTGGGCAGCGGGAGCTCAAGAAGGTGCATGTTTGCTGCTGAGGAGAGGTGTCTGGGGCGGGGGCAGACACTTTTCTGGTGCAGGTGTGGAAGGATTTCTGCACGAGGAAGATCGGATCTACGCGTCTGTGTCTRTGGCCGTGGGTGCGCTAAGGGATGCTCGCTGGGAATTCCCTGAAAACCCCTGACGGTTGTCAGCTGGATGAAAGAGATGCAAACCCTGCTCCAACGAAGCCCTGAGCTAGAGCTGGCTGTCCCCCTCAGGGTCTAGAAACAGAACCATTCACAAGGCCATTGTCAAYGCTCAGGGGAGCCCGTGTCCCCTAGGTCTGGCGGGACAGGCTGAGATTAGTCCTTCTCTAGCTGCGTAGTAGAGGTGCTAGATAGGCAAGCTGTGGCTTCCAAAGGCCACCAGGCTAGGAAAGGTCAATTTGTCATGGTCAGAGAGCCAAAGGGATGGTGACTGAGCAGAGGCAGGAAGCTGGTATTTCTCATGCTGCTAACTGGACATTGCTGTACAGCGCAAGTCAATTTGCAAGAATTCCCTGGACCTTGAGGAGGGATGGAGTGATAGGGAGGAAGGGGTGTTTAAAAAAAATTTTTTTTTTTAATTTTTCTTTTCTTTATTTTATTTTTTTTTAATTTTCCATCATTTGTTACACTTCATTTCCTGGCTTCCTCCCTTGCTGAGCAGACACTGGCTTGGCTAGCCCAGCCCAAATTCCCCATCCTCATCTCTCCGCTTCGTGTGGTCTGCACAAGTGGCAGCCAAGGAAGGCTCTAATTTCGGGGTGGGCAGTGGGGAGGCTCTTCCACCTTTTTTTACTCATCTAGTACCTCTATTAAGCAGAGAAGTGATCAGAACGGGTGGTAGCAGGGTAGAGGGAGAATGAGCCGTGCAGCTTTTGATTAGTTTCGTGCGACGCATTTCCCGTGGTACCTAGAGTTTCCTGAGCAGCATCCGCATAGTGACTCTCTGCACGGTTTGCTCTTACTGGAAATGAGGGGAGAGTAAAAATTAGACCTGGAAGCAAATGCCAGACAGGAAACTTTTGATTACGGTCTCTGGGTTTAAAAGACAGGTGTTTTGAGGGCCGGGTTCATGACAGGATTGTTCTGTTTGGGTGTTACGTGAGATTAAAAAAAAAAAATCAAAAATCAAGACGGTTTCTGAATTTTGTTTCACTGTGGTTAGTAAATTTGATTGTTAGAAATGAGGCATTCTGCTCATTGAGTTGGTGGCATCAGTTTATCTACAATTAACTGCAGGAAGATTTTTCAACTGTATTGGAAACAAAAAACCACTCTGTTTTTCCTCTAAATAAATAAAAGAACCCATAAGTTTTTTTTTTTTTTCAAATTGTGTAAACCATGGAAAGCCAAAACATCACCTTCTTTTGTCAAACAATATCCAAAAATCTCAAATTTCTTCTTTTTTTCCCCCCCAAAAAAAATCCCACTCACAAAGAGAGCTWGTTAATCTGTGAATTATTTGCACTTTTCATAGAGGAAATAGCATTATAATAAGCCTGCATTTTAAAAAAAGAAAAAAATAGATAAAAACAGGGTGTGGTGCAGTCCCTTATGGGAARGGAGTTGAACATCTGTGTTCACACATCTGGTTTTGGCAATGCTTTTTAGACAGGCCCTACCACGTCTGGGGATTTGCTGACTTTGAGGAGGCACCACCCCAGCTCCATCCCAAATGACTGCTCAGGCACTGCCCTGCCAGGGGATCACCACCAGGACCAGGGTCCTCCACGCCATGGAGCAGCCCTCTTCTACCTGTGGAAGGGGAATGTCGTGGCCCCATCACCCCACCAGGCCACCAACCACCAGCAGGCAGCTCGTGCCAAACTCCTGGGCAGACTGGAAAGGCTGAAGGGCATCAAACCCCGATATCATTATCAATCGGAGGAGCTCRTGGGCACAGCAAGCTCAGCCAACACCACCCTGGGCACCCTGGGGACCCCTCAGGTGCCCACAAAGTGATCCTGCATCCCCAGGGGCCRGTGGTGCTGCCAGGGCTGTCCTGGAGCTGGCGTGGGGGTGGGATATGGAGCATGCAGAGCCTCGGGGAGATGCGTGGGTTTCTCTCCTCTCAGTCTCCTCTGCAGTCCCTCCAGAAAGATGCAGCTCCTTCCGTGCAAATAATCCGCTCCCCTAAAGGCAACTGATTATTTCCAGATTACTGTCAGTCCCAGCATGAGTCTCTGGCACTACTCGAATTGGTTAGAAGGCCAAACACCAGCCCAGGCTCATGTGGCCCTTGGGGTTCCTATGACTGACCCCAATTTCCACGGGCAGTAGAGGTTGGAGACACCTCGGGCATCCTTGGCCGGATGAGCAGGGGCCCACTGAGTCAACCAAAGGCATCCTCCAGTGCGTACAAAAGCCTCAATCACAGCCCTGAACAGAGAGCTCGGTGTTGTGTGTATCTCAGACAGACACGTACACACACTGAGAGAGAGATATACACACAGATACACACACACGGTACAAGGGACCCCGCCCCAAGGGACCCCCAGCACATGGCCAAGGTCCTGCAGAGCTCACTGGGGTCAAGGACAAACCACAGCCAAGAAAAACCTTCCCAAGAGGTTCCTCTCATTGCCTACAGCACTCAACTCATGCTGGACAAAGTAATCTGAGTTTTAGCTTCCCAYATCCCTGGAACCCTTCTGTTTCTTTTTCTCTGATGTGAATGTGTYATTATGATCATTTGGTTCATTGATTTTTAGCTTTTCACCCAATTGCATTTTGCAGAGTGCAAGAGGAAGAAATGTGGTCGTGGATGCCTTCAGATGTTTCTCAGACCATCTGTTAAAGAGCATCTGAAGCCCACATTTCACACAAGAGCCTCCATAGCCCTGGCTGGCCATGTGTCTGTCTTCTTGACATTACAATCAAAGCAAAACAAACAGAAACGAGRTGCCACAGCTAATTTCCAGCCTGATTAATGGAAAAGTAATCATCCCCCATTACCACTCTGATCTGCTGGCTTTGTGGAGCAGCAGGGGTGAGAAAAGCCCCAGCACAGAGCASGCCTCCTTCCCTGGGGATAGGAGGGAGAGTGGATTTGTATTTGGAGCCTGCAGTGAGGTCTCAGAGCTGGGATGGGTCCCAGTGTCCCAGCAGCCCAGGCAGCCCTGGGGAGGGACAGGGTGGACACAACACCCCAAGTGATGGGCAACAGGAGGCTCTGAAAGCRTTTGTTTTCCTAAAGGGAGGAAAATAAAAAGGGGGGAAGAGGTACATAGCATGTAGGAAATGGCCAGCATCKCTTCTGCCCATCACAGCCTGGGCTCCACCTGTGGCAAGGTGAGCTCCTGGCTCCAAGCAGGTCAGCACAGAGCATTCCCAGCACTCGGATGGGGATGCAGACAAGCTCGTGGTGGTGGAAAAACAAAGCAGAAACCRTAGAGAAAGGACATAACCTGTGTCTCAGATCAGCTGTCCCATTTTATGCCAAGRCTAAATCCAAGGCCACCCAAGAGAAATCCCAGGTGACCCCGAGCYTATGCCACCTCCTCACATTCTCCCACCCTGGGCAGCAGCTCTCCCAGGGCTGTGTGGGCAGAAATCAGAGAGGGCAGGACCCCAACAGCCACCCTGAGCACTGGCAGAGTGCTTGGRATGCTCCCTGCCCTCGCAAGGCAATGTTTGTCCTGCACAGCACAATCCCATGTGCCATGTCAGCATCCCTTCTCTAAATTAAAACATACTAAGGTGAAAAACAGTGGAAGAGCTCTTTCTGCTCCATTTGCTTCAAAGACTTGTGGTGTATGGATAGGAAATCAGCCACTCCCTACACATCACTAGAACAGGAGGAAGCTCCAGCCATCTCCAGGTGTAAAACTGTATTTCCTCACAGCGATGGAAATGCAAAGTGGCAAATCCTWCCCCAGCTGAAGCAGCAAAGTGTGGAGCTGGGGTCTGCTGGGAGAGACAATTCATCCCCAGGAGCTTCCTGAGTGAAGCATCAGCAGCWAGTGGGTGATTAACTGTCAGGTGGGCAGAGAAACAGGATGAGCTCTCTTTTCTAAGGGCAGGATGACACACTGAGCATCACCGGGAGGCTGCTGCAAATCAGAGTGGGTGGAAGATTTTGGGATGTGAATGTAAAAGACCCAGAAAATTTTATTGGGGAAAACCGGCGATTTGGGCTCTTCGAATGCAAAATTCCTTCCAGAGGTCTGAGATGTTATCAGATGGAAGGAAAAGGACAAGGGGAGCAGGTGGAATTGATGTTGTCCTGACAGAAGAGAAGGAAGGAGCTCTGGTGCTGCCATGGCAGCAGAAGTGAACGATATGGGATAAAATCTGAAGCTCTGCACTGCAGCTGCAGACCCTCAGCTTAAGCCCTCCTGGGCTGGGGTTTAGCAACAAAACCCATCGGTGTCACAAGAGWCAGATGCACCACAGGAGCAGGAAACAGCACTTGGAAATGATTCTGATGAGGGACCTAAATATAGTAAAAAATACTCTGGAAAGGACAGGGGAGGACTATTTTTACTTCTTTCTGTGACATAAGATTGAGAAAGTAGAAATGAACAGAGAGAAACCTGCAAGCTCTATGAAGAAATATTATACATAACCTAATGTTTCAACGAAATAAATATGAATCCTGCAAAACACATTCAAAAATTAGCAATAAGGCTAGTGAGTCAGAAATTAGACTGTTTCTTGTGGTTGCAGGGATGCTGGTGGGTGTAACCTTGATAGGGACTGACAGACCTCATATTTCCTTGGCTATGAAGCTGATGGGGCTGAACAGCCCAGATTTTGTCTCATTGCACTCTAAGAAATGTGGATTTACCCTTTGATGCACCCAAAGGGTATCACTGGCTGAGACAGGGTAGCAGAGCAGCCAGACCCTGGGATGAAATTCTGACCCTCCTGATGCCACAGGCAGGTGGCCAAGATTTCAGCCTTGGTCTGCTCCCAGAGAGCCCTTCCCAAGTAATGCTCCCTGCTTTAATAATGCTGCATGGATGCTGCCTTCACTCGAGACCTCGAGCAGAAAAAAAAAAAAGAAAAAAAAAAATCTGGATAGTTGAAACATGATCTTGGAGATTTGGGTTATTTGGCAGGAAAGTAGATGGAGTGCTACAAAGGTTCTGCTTGCAAAGAAAAGCTCAAATGAACAACAGAAAAAAAGAAAAGGGGGGGAGAGGGGGAAGGAAGGAAAGATGAAATTTTCCACCCTTCAGTCAGCACTGTATCTACCCAGATATCTTTGGTTGGCTTTTATGCCAAGGAAAAATTAGTTTCTGGCCTCTTATAAGCTMAGAGGCATGGCAGAGAGGTACATCTGCAGAATGCCAGGCTCTGGCTGTACTTCTGAAAAATGTATTCATTGTTTACAAAATTCAGGCTGTAAGCTGTGATTTGAGGAACGAGATGGAAGATCTGAAAGCCAAGCAGATGATTTCCACAGATCATCAGTTTGTGTCTCATCACCCAAGAAAAAAAAAAAAAAA